GGAGCGGCGCAGCGCCGCAGGAGCAGGAGACGTGGCGGTGGCCCGTCCACGACAGGCCCGAGATGACGAAGCCTGTGCTCGGGGCGTTCGAGGACCCCCCTGGGCCGCCCGCTCGCCACTCGTCAGGCGCAGGGGTGGATCCCCTGCCTCGCCCTCCCGCTCACGAATCGTTTGCCGCTGGAGCGCATCCGACAGGCGAGCGGCTCTCTCTCCTCGCGGGCCCGTGCTGCAGGCGGAGAGAGAGAGAGAGAGGGGGAGCCAATTGTGAAGTCTGGGAGAGGACACCCCCGCCGCCCCTGTCGAAGACCGTTTCAGAGTGGTCGCGGGGCGCCCGCGCATGATTCAGATTCTGGTGCAAAGTGCAAGTTGCATGTTTTTTTGGCCAAGGGATGGTGGTGTGTGTGAGTGTGTGTGTGTGTGTGTGTTGGGATTGCACACATTCGGCAATGTGCCAGAACTCCCGCCGTCCCTGCCAGAAGCTAATGCAGAGTGGTCACGGGGCGCCCGCGTACGGTCCAGACTTTGCGCCGCAGTGTGCCACGTGCACGTCGCACAGCTTTCGTCGTGGATGGCGGGGGGCTGTTGTCAGTGGCTCCGATTTTTCGCAGGCCGGTTGGGGGAGGGGGTGTATTTGAATAAGGAGCAGTGATCGAGCTACCCCCCCGAAGGACCGCCGTCTCGCTCACTCACACCCGCTTTCCCGCCACACAGTTAGCACTCGAGTTTCAGGTTTCAGCATGGGCATGGGCCGCCATCGACCGTCATCGGTAACCGCTGCAGACGCCAGCTAGGTGCGCGACGCCTGACAGGTGCGCCGCGCATGCCAGGGCATCCCATCATCCCTGTCGAATTACAGTGCAAATGGATCGTGCGACGCCCGCGCATGATCGGTGCAGTGTTTTCAACCTTGTTCTTGACATGGATGCTGGGCTTGCTCGCAGCAGGCAGCTTGCCGGCACCTGGCAGCAAACAAAGCAACGTGATCGTATGGTGCCCGCACACGATCCAGATTTTGCCGCAACGTGCGCTGTGTAAACTTTTTTGTCAGGGATGGTGGGGGGTTGTCATGGATTCCTGGTTTGCTCCCGGTCAGGTGGGGAGGGGGTGTACATGGATGAGGAACAGTGATGAGCCCCTGCCCGAAGGGGAAGAAGGGGGTTGGACGAGGAAGCGCCTTGAATCACCTACGCCCTGAAGGGCTGGTGGGATCAGGGTGCCACGACACAGACAGCACGAACGGAGGGCGGCGGCCCCCCACGCGCAGGCCCCCAACTGCCCCGCTCCGGCGGCACCGCGGGCTTGCCCTGACTCGCCCCTCCCCCCTTCCTCGCCCCTTCTGCCTCCTCCATTCCTTCACCCCTCCTCCTTCCTCTCCTCCTTCCTCTCCTTCGCCTCGTTCGCCTCCTCCTCGTTTTCGTCCTCGCTCCCTTCGGCTGCTCTCCCTTGCCCTCCTCCTCCC